TAGATGGTGTTCTTCAGTGTCTTCTTTAATGCCACCAACAAATATCTTTTTCAGTTAAGTGGGCACCTGGTCTTTGGAATCTTCTCTTGAGACAACTCTCTTTGGTTCCAAAACTCCTCCATCCACCTTATGTGGTCTTGCATTCGTGGCTGCATCTACCTCCTCCACAGTGGCATATGTGACAAACCCAAAGCCCCTGGAACGCTTGGTGTTTGGATCTCTCATTACCACACAGTCCGTGAGCGTTCCCCATTCTCAAAATGGCTCCTCAGGCTCTCATCGGTTGTTTCAAAGCTCAACCCTCCAATGAAGAGCTTCCTCAGCTGTTTGGGCTCTTTAGGAGACTCTGACTTAGACATGACAGCAGGGAGAAAAGAGACTTTAACGATGCTTCTTCGGCAGCGTCCACGGGCAGAAAGGAGCAAGCTGACGAACGTATCAATATTACTGAATCTTAAAGGGAGCCATGATGTCTTTAATCCTCAGAAACATTAACCTGGCCAGATGTGGCCGCTCACACCTGTAATCCCAGCACTTTAGGAGGCCAAGGTGGGCGGATCACAAGGTCAGGAGTTCGAGACCGGTGTGGCCAACATAGTGAAACCCCGTCTCTACTGAAAATACAAAAAATTAGCCTGGTGTGGTGTGCGCATGTAATCCCAGTTACTCTGGAGGCTGAGGCAGGAGAATCACTTGAACCCGGGAGGTGGAGGTTGCAGTGAGCTGAGATTGCGCCATTGCACTCCAACCCGAGCAACAGTGTGAGACTCCATCTCAAGATAAATCAATCAATGAGTCAACCAACCTGTAAACAAAGGAATACATGAGGTTAAACAGTATTCAAATTTCCATATGCTTTAAAACATTGAGAGAGTATATTGAGAAACACACCTAAGAAACTGCAGTCAATCTACTGTTAAAAAAATTTAGAGAATATCTGTTCAAAATAAGCTATCTAGTGGTATTTATACATATTCTTACATATATCACCTGTGTTTTACATGCTTGTAACATTAAACATAATTGAAAACTGTCAAGATTATAGAGCTTATACATTTCTGTGGGCTTGAAAATGATGCAATATAGATTATTTGTTTCTATAAAGTAGTCAGTAAAAAGTACAAACTTCTTTTTTTTTTTTTGAGACGGAGTCTCGCTCTGTGCCCCAGGCTGGAGTGCAGTGGCGCGATCTCGGCTCACTGCAAGCTCTGCCTCCTGGGTTCACGCCATTCTCCTGCCTCAGCCTCCTGAGTAGCTGGGACTATAGGTGCCCGCCACCGCACCCGGCTAATTTTTTGTGTTTAGTAGAGACGGGATTTCACCGTGGTCTCGATCTCCTGACCTTGTGATCCGCCCGCCTCGGCCTCCCAAAGTGCTGGGATTACAGGCGTGAGCCACCGCGCCCGGCCAAAAGTACAAACTTCTAAATGGAGTAATCACTAACAAGAGAGTTCACACTGAAGGTGGTAATACTAGGAACAAAAGAGGGCTCAACACTGCCTTCAGGAAAGGAAGGGTCCAGATTGGTATATTTTCTAAAGGCTTCCTCCAGCCTGCCATAAAACACGGCTAGATTTTCCTCCTTGCCTTGTGCAACCTCCCTTACTTTATCATAATTTACTGCCTTAGTTACTCCCTTTTTCTTTCCTCCAAGGAGAGCCTTAAGAAATTTGGCCCAGTTGTTCATTCCCATGGGGGTGTTATGGTCCCAGTTAGGATCAGTAGCGGGGACTGTGTCTGGGTTTGGGCGATAACCCTGAGGGTTTTGGGCAAGTAAATTGTCTGCTTCTTGGCAAGTGACCTCAAAGATTCATTCCTTTTCCAAGAGGGTGCAACAAGTTGCTAGAATGAATTGAACGTCTCTCTATGAGAGATGAAAGGCTAAGGTCAAAGCTTGGAACCTATCTGCAAGTTTTCTGGGGTTCTCTGAATAGCTTCCTAGCTTTTTCTTTACATTGTTGTATGTCATTTATGGAGAAGGGGACCGAAACTCAGACCAGCCCCTCGGCTCCTGCTACTTCCCTAAGGGATAGCAGGGCTATAGAGGTAGTTGAATAGGGTGTTCCCCTCTGAATGTGAGGGGGACTTAGCAGGGCCCTTGGCTTTAGCTCTTGGGTTTGGGCCTCAGAAACACTTGGCAAGGGGTTATATGGGGGTGGTTGCCATTGCCCCAAGAGACAGGTGGCCCTTGCATAAAGGAGGTCATCCACAATATCCAGTTCTGCCTTAGAACCTTCCTTTTGGGGGCAGGTTCTGGGAGTTTTGCTGATGGTTGGGTTTTGACCTAGGGCCATAAAGGCCTACACATGTAGGATTTCTGACCATTTACACTGCCTTTTGCAAAATAGGTCTAATTGCAGGATGGTGTTGTAATTAAGACTTCCCATTATTCCCGGCTGTCCAGCTAATTTTGGGGCCATACAGTATTACAGTAAAAAAAAAAAAAATCAGGTTTTTTCTCCTTAGATTGTCAGGGTCAAATTGACATTTGAGAATTGACATTTGAGAATTCCCAGTGGTTGAGAATGCAGCCAAGTGGGGAATCAGATGGAATGGATGGAGAGTTGCCCATAGTGGTCTGGAAGAAAGAAGAGAACCTAGCTTATTTGGTGACTCAGATTTTACCGGGGCATCCCCCTGCAAAATCTCTGGGCCTTGATTGGGGTCCTCAGGGGCGTCCCCCTTTAGGGCCCCATCTTAGTCTGACCTTAGATGGGTGCTGGTACCACTTTGGGAAGGTTCTCTCCACCACTGATGACCCACTGTGAGCCTTCCTTTTGTCCCCGGATGAAGGCCTTGACTTCTAGCATCCTTATAATTTGATAAGGCCATTGTTTCCTGTTCCACTGGAGTGATAGCCATGAACTTTAATAGTAGGAACTAGAAGTTGGATGGATTTCTTTTGTCATGTGGATTTTACAGGTAGTCTCAGGGGGGAAAGGTAGATTTGGAGCATGAAAAATGAAATAATAGGGTTGGCTCTTCCACTCAGGCCCTCAATAAGAGAGGGAATGTTTAAAAATCCACCATCATGACAGTGGACCCCATGTAAGGGCAGGTCATTCTATAAGAATAATATGGTGATGACAAAAGAAACAAGATGTAGAATGTATTCTAAAGATTGTGGGCCCCAAAAGTCCTCAGCAAGTTGAAGGGGAATCAGAATGCCTAAGAGATATCTTTTGCCATTACAAGCTAACTCTTTTTTTTTTTTTTTTTTTTTTTTTTTTTTTGAGACGGAGTCTCGCTTTGTCACCCAGGCTGGAGTGCAGTGGCCGGATCTCAGCTCACTGCAAGCTCCGCCTCCCGGGTTCACGCCATTCTCCTGCCTCAGCCTCCCGAGTAGCTGGGACTACAGGCGCCTGCCACCTCGCCCGGCTAAGTTTTTGTATTTTTAGTAGAGACGGGGTTTCACTGTGTTAGCCAGGATGGTCTCGATCTCCTGACCTCGTGATCCGCCCGTCTCGGCCTCCCAAAGTGCTGGGATTACAGGCTTGAGCCACCGCGCCCGGCCTACAAGCTAACTCTTTAGGAGCATTTGGCGTAAGGAAAGAGGGCTTAAGTTGACTGAAACGTGTGAATTTGTTCTAGAAGAGCTGCCACTGTCAATTTCATCATACGTAGGGGTTAGGGACTGTAACTAAGAAAGACAGAAAAGAGTACTTACCCATTCTGGGCAGGGCAGCTATCTCCATTCACTTCTTGGCCTTCAGGTAACACCAGAGAGTGGCCCTGGCTAGTTGCCCTCAATTACCAAGGATCTACTAGGAAACAGCCTCTGAAAGACTGAAAAAAAGAAAAGGACTCAGGTCCCTCACCCAAACCAGGCAGTGGTGGTCAGGTGCTTCCACATGGATACCTTTCAGTCTCCTGGGAGAGTGGCCCTGGCCTGACACCTGCTGTTGCCTTCATGCTTAGATGCTGTCTGTGAAGAATCCCGTGTTGGAAAAGGGAAAGAGAGCGGAAGGGGTTCCCCTCTGTGGAGTGGAGGGAGCCCTGCATGGAGATAACTCCAGCCTGTGTCCGAAAAGAAAAAGGGAAAAGGCAAAGAGAAATAAATCCCCACATTTGGGCTTACCTCCTGGCTGACTTGCCAAGATATGTTACCAGTGGAGGGTCTTGACTATAAGTTGTCCAGTTTCTTGGCATGTTGAACAAAGAATTGAACAAAACACACAAAGCAATAGAAGACAAAAGCATAGATTTATTGAAGCAAAAGTATACTCCACATATCAGGAGCAGGCTTGAGCAAGCAGCTCAAGAGCCTTAGTTGCAAATCATCTGGGGTTTAGTACCCGTTAGAAGTTTCCTATTTGTTACACCCTATATAAATGAAGACTTGACCCACAACCAGTTGGAGGCTGAAGTGAAGGCTCAGCCCGTGATCAATTGGAGGCCGAAGTGAAGGCTCAGCCTGCAACCAATCAGAGGCTGAAGTTATCCTACGCAAATGAAGAGTTGGCCCATGAGGCTGAAGTGAAGTCTCCCTGTCTCCAGACCCTATTCTCCTGCCTAAAAATGGGTCAAAACTCAAAGGGTTGGAAAGAACATATCGTTGAAAAAAAAAAAAGAAGAAGTCTCCCTCCTACCCTTGTTCCTTTCCTTGGAGGCAACCAGTATTTATCAGATTTATATGTATCCTTCCCAGATACTTTGTACCTGTGCTTTAAATAGATATCCTTAGGGGACACATTTAGTGGGTACGGATAGTCAACCTCTATATTTTGCTTCTGGCAATAATTATTTGATTTTAATATCTATCACTGGAGTCTTACTAAATTTATTCACTCCACATTATTTCTCTGGAGTCTTTTGTTTTTTTGTTGATGAAAACAGTTAAAAGGTTTTTTGGTCACTAAAATGATTTGTGTAAATAGGGAAGTAAAGATTTTAAACTATAGTTCGGAGTTTGTTTTTTTTTTTTTTTTTTGGAGAAAAGATGATTTTGGCATGAGGAGTTTGTCAGTGTCTAACAATTCTTTCTTATATTTTTCCTGAAGGCGCTTGACTTTGGCAGATATTGAGAGAATAGCCCCATTGGCTGAGGGGGCCTTACCTTACAACCTGGCAGAACTTCAGAGACAGGTATGAGTAGTCTCATAAATATGATCACCTTAAAAAATGCTGAACTAGTAGCCTGAGTAGGAGCTGACAGCTTCTGAATGCTGTAAAAATTAAAAATTACTTTCTAGAGAAAGACTTTACTTAGCTTAAAGATTACCTTTATAGAACTACTGTTACCCCCACTTTTATAGAATATATATATACACACACACACATATATATATATATATTTTTTTTTTTTTTAGATGGAATCTGGCTCTGTTGCCCAGGCTGGAGTGCAATGGTATGATCTCGGCTCACTGCAACCTCTGCCTTCTGGGTTTAAGAGATTCTCCTGCCTCAGCCTCCCGAGTAACTGGGATTATAGGCATGCGCCACCACAACTGGCTAATTTTTGTATTTTTAGTAGAGTCAAGGTTTTGCCATGTTGGGCAGGCTGGTCTCAAATTTGTGACCTCAGGTATCCACTCACCTCGGCCTCCCAAAGTGCTGGGATTACAGGCATTAGTCACCACGCCCAGCCTATAGAACATTTTTATGAGATAACTAGATTTATGTTTGTGTTTTGTTTTTTGTTTTGTTCAGATAAGGAAAATAAGAGTTCAAACATACATCGGTTTGACCCCCTTCCCCTTAGAATTAGCATTCTTTTCATTTGCCTCGTCACATTTGAAGATAATTGTTAGGTTTACTTTGTATCATTAAACTGGCATTTATAGGGTTTCTAAAATAAAAAAACTTCCCTCAAATGAAATAATTGATTCACTGGGATTGTGCCTTACAGATTACAACCTGGGGAAAAAAAAAGTAGTGAAACCGGAAAGAAAACCTTGACTGTTATTACATTTTTGATAAATATAAATGTTAAGAATGATTAAAACAGTAGCTTCTGAGTCCTATAAAATTAATACAGTCCCATTTCTGATTACAAGTACTATCTTGGTAAGAAAAAGAAATTCCATGAAATTACCTTGAAGAGTGGAATGGAACAGTTTTTAACAAATCTTGTTTTGAGTTGAAACCTCTACTTCTATAGCACTTTCGAAGTTTCAGTGGTAGCAGATGATCACATTGCTTTTGTGTGTGGGTAAGGGTTAGGAAGGCCAGTCATTGTCCTCCTGGTACTTTCCTGCTCCAATAGACATGGAGCCTGCGTTCCTCATAATTCTCTAGGAGAGTGTGATGCCATACTAGGCTAGGCAACATGGGGAGGGCATGGATAAAGAAGACAGGATACAGAGAGAGAGACAGAGAGAGAGAGAGAGAGAGCACGCTACTAAATGTGCATGCTGTAGAAAGAGGCTATGTCTGCTCTTTCTTCATTGCTGCCACATTGGTGAGTAGCCAGGGTTGGTTTGCTGTTATTGTTCACCTTCACCAAATGTGTTAATGAAACATCAAGATATGTTTAAGTGTAGTTCACTTTGGGAAGACTTGGTCGGAAACCTTTCTTCTACTTGAGCTCCATGGAATGATGATTCTGCCTGTGAAACTAATTAGAATTTCCAGTTCTACTTTACATAAGGAACAACAACATTTTGTAGTCAGGTTGAAGCAAATTGAAAATGGAAAAGAAACATTATATCTACGTTTTGTGTTAATAGTTTGTTTACTGTTGTGTAATAAACTTCCTACAAATTAAAATGTATTGTAACTCATTGCAATTTAGCTTCTTTTGTATCAGAAAAACTCTTTTACCTGCTGCCATCAAAGTTTATTTCCAGGCCGGGCCCAGTGGCTTATGCCTGTAATGCCAGCAATTTGGGAGGCTGAGGCAGGCAGATTGCTTGAGCCCAGAAGTTCCAGACCAGCCTGGGCAACATGGCACAACCCCATCTCTACCAAAAAAAAAAAAAAAAAAAGCAAAAAATTAGCCAGGTATGATGGCATGTGCCTGTAGTCCTAGCTACTTCGGAGACTGATGGGGAGGAAGAGACTGATGAGCCCAGGAAGTTGAGGTTGCAGTGAGCCGTGATTGTGCTACTGCACTCCAGCCTGGGCAACAGAGTGAGACCCTGTCTTAAAAAAAAAAAAAAAGAAAAAAGTTTATTTCCATTATGAGGTCTCAAATCCTTTAAAAATAGATAGATTTATTTCAGTTCAGTGATTTTTAAAAAATAAAATTTTATAAAATTACAACATTTAATAAAAGGAAAGAAGGTGAAAATTTTTTAATAAAATTAAAAAAGACATTGAAATATTTAAAGAGCTCTTACTGAATTTAATTTTATTTTTTGTAGTATATACATTTGTGAAAATTTGCTCTTGAATTTTGAAAAATTGCATTTCAAAAGAAGATATTTTGCAGTATTACATGTGTCTATTGATATAACTCTCCCTGAAGGTGTCCTTAATATTTGTAATTGGGAAATATTTCATTTAGCGTATTAAAAACATTGTAAACTGAATTTAAAAGTCTCAACTCATTTCCTCCTCCTCAGTTTTTCTGCCGCTTAGTTTTCTATTCACCCACCTCTCTTGCCCCTAGCAATTTTCCTAGAGGCCATATCTGAAGCTTGTTTTGCAATCTTTGGCACCCTGAGTCTGCGTCCTTCACGTTTCTTCATCCTTAGGAAAGTGATGTAATTTTGCTACTGCTGTGAATTCTTTTTAAGACAGATTCAAGATGATTTGCCTGTCTTCAGTGGCGGTGCTGATGCTTTTATGCTGGGTTGGGTGGCCTCAAGGGTCTTGTCAGATATTTAGGAAATGGGCAGTGATAAAAACCACCATTTTCTTCTTCCCTGGGTCTCTGATTGGTATCCAGAGTGATGGGGAGTGCTTTCTCTGCCTTTCCTTAACCAGTGAGATGGTACAGGGATCTAGAATTTCTAGAGAGCTGGTAGAGGTCTTAGGTATTCTTACATTGTCCCCAAAGGAAGAACCTCAGAGTCTCAGGACACTTTTTCTTTTTTTTTTTTGGTGGAGACAGAGTCTCTGTCACCCAGGCTGGAGTGCATTGGCACAATCACTGTTCACTGCAGCCCTGACCTCCCTGGCTCAGGTGATCCTCCCACCTCAGCCTCCTGAATAGCTGGGACTATAGGCATACACCACCATGCTCAGCTAATTTTTTTTCAGTAGAGACAGGGTTTAGCCATGTTTCCCAGACTGGTCTCAAACTCCTAAGCTTACATTAATCCACTGGCCTTGGCCTGCCAAAGTGCTGGAATTACAGAGTGCATGAGCCACTGCGTTCAGCTAAAATGTTTAATGTTTCCTCTCACATAGAAAATAGTCTTTCTACTGAGGCTTAGGTACAGAGAAATAAAAATTAAGATCTTAAGTATGTGTTTTCCTCTACATTATTATAGGAATAAAATCTGAGAAAATAGAACTCAACCGAAATAATAAATAATTATTAGAGTTTTATAGGAACAGATTTGTGAAGGTTAAGGGTTCAAATTAATGTCCACTAATGGCCATTGTGAAATCTGACCTTTACTGTCCTTGAGATCTGATACAAGTTTATTTGGGCCTCAGTTTTCCCTTTAGTAAAGTGAGTATCTTCATGTATTTCTGAGAAGCCTTCAAGCTCCTGCATTCTGTAAAATGGTATGTATCAATGGATTTTATTTTCAGAATTCTAAATTTATCCTCCTTTTTCCTTTGTAACATTTAAAATTTTGTAAGGAATTCAGGCTGGACTCAAGTAGAATAATATGAAAATATGCTTAAGTTCTTATAGCAACCAAAGTAATAGAATAAACTTTCTTCAATTTTCAGCCTTGAAAAAACATTCTCAGTTAACGTATTTCAGGTTTATGAGGCATTCTAAGGCGGCCATATAGACTACAATCCTAGTGACTCAGTTTTTAACATTCTTTAGTTCACAGAATTACAGTAATGCTAACCATAGCTATTCCCATGTTACTTCCAGAAGATATCTTGATTTGATTCTCTTGTGATTTTTCCTATGTTGCCAAATTTGTAGTACATAATTACTTACATTTATTATGCAGAGTATTCTCTTATATGAATATATTAGAAACCTAAATGTAAAATAGGAAGAAGGATGTATGTTTTGTTATCTCACCTTATGAAAGGTATTATGAAAACACTTGTTTATGATGGAGAATCTGTGAGTCCAGAAATAGAAGTTATGAAGGAGACAGTAGTTAAGAGGTTGGCCACTGATTATGTAACATCCTCTCATTCTGTTTCCTCGTTTATTAAATAGGGACAGTATGCCAGGCACAGTGGCTTGTGCCTGTAATCCCAGCACTTTGGGAGGCCAAAGCGGGCAGATTGTTTTGAGCCCAGTAGTTTGAGACCAGCTGGGCAATATGATGAATCTCTGTCTCTACAAAAACATACAAAAAATTAGCCAGGCATGGTAGAATTAGCCAGGTACATGGTAGCACCTGTAGTCTCAGCTATTTGGGAGGCAGAGGTGGGAGGATTGCTTGAGCGCAGGAGTTTGAGACTGCAGTTAGCTGTGATCATACTACTGCACTCCAGCCTGAATGACAGAGCAAGACCCTGTCTCAAATAAATAAATAAATAAATAAATAAAGATAGCAGTATTCATCTTTACAGGATTATTATGAGAATTACATGAGTAATAATACACTTACATTAAGCCTAACACCTGTTAAGCATGCAACAAATGTTAACTGCTATTATTGTGCTTATTATCAAATATGAGAAGCCTGTATAAGCAAACTCCAAGATGGGTTGAAACATATATGTGACACAGTTGCTTAATCTACTCTCATCTACTTCCATTAGGTGAAAGGGGATGAGAAGTGAGGAAAAAGTATTAATATTTCTTTGTATTTTTTTAAGTGCCTGAAATGTTTTATATTTTAATTTTTAAATGCTGGTTGAAATTCTACCAGGCCTATTTTTAAAAATTTTTAGTTAATGATGGATATTCAACAAGGAAAAAAAATCACTACCCCATACCATACACAAAAGTCTTTTTCTGTTCCTAAATGTGAAAGATTAAAGAGGATAACATGAGAGATTCTATTTCTGATCTGGAGATAAGCAGAGATTTTGTAAATAGTACAGAACAC